GAGGTAAATTCTTGGTTTAAAAGACAGGCATAAGCCATTCCTACCACTGAGTAGAAATGAATTTTAATCATTGCAGTGGCACGGTGGGAGATGCATTTCCTGCTTCCCTGAGTTGCTACGAATCATGGACTTCTCCACGTTTCAAGCATATGCGCACATATGTTCTGAAGTAGTATTTTGACATACGTGAAGGCTCCTCCAGAGAGGCATCCAGGAGATTTTCAATTGTGATGGTGTCCTGGCCCTTTAGGGACGGAGCACCCAGTCTAATGGTGCAAAGTCCTGAATTTCTGTGCACGTAACGACAGTACTTCTCTGCCAGATCCTCTCACATTAACTTTGTGAAGTTGAAATAAAGACTGAATTTAAGATTGGCCATTATCCTGGTCAGACCCAAGTAACATAAGTTTGAATCTGTCTTTGAATTTCAATGACACCAGCAGGTTCCGTATAGGCGGCCAGATCCTCATTACACTCCGCAGTAAACTTGCTACATAAATGAACCTTGTTGAGAATTTATTCTCGGAGTAAGCTAGGCCACATAATTTTCTAAACACCCCTTTTCTATAAAATGCGAAATGAAAAGAGCCAGCCAGGACGTGTATTGAATACGCACTTGGTAATGCTTTATGCTACTGCTGCGGGGAGACCCTGTGGTTTGTATTGTTGTGTATTTTGTAAGAATCAACGAAAACCGAAGCAAGGGTTCTACATACACACAATGTTTGAAGGGCTGTACCCAGTGGTGGGCTAAAAAAGACAGGTCCTTGTTTTCTTCCTTAGCATATGCAGCCTCGGCCACTGGGAATGGATGTTCAGGACCTTGTCAGTGAGAAATGCCTGAATGGTACCCTCGGCAGTCTGTCAGTTGCCGAAGCAACACATTTCCCAAAACGGGGTTTTGCTTACAAGGCGGCCAAGTCGCACATCTGCCTCTGCAAGGTTAGGGTTCAAAATGTTTATGGGATAAAGAAATAGGTGACTCGAAGCTTTAGTGAAGATGTTCGGGGGTGAAATCATCAGTGTTCTGGGGATGCACGATTAATTTTCAAGTTAAGTGTGCGCAGGAAATGGTGGTGTTAGTGTGATGGGGCCGTGGGTTTTTCAACCACTCCCCACCTCCATGCGAGAGAGTCACCCATCGGACCCTTGTGCCAGCTGGGTGTTTCCAATCAGTGCGTCATCCACAGATAAACTAGATCAAAGCAGCCTCCACGCTCCTGAAAGGCCCCTTAGGCACCTGTGGCCAGGTGTCTAGCATATCAACAGTGTTGTCTGCACTGAAGCAAATTTAGGTACCTACCACTGCTCAGAGAGGCGGGCTCTCAGCTTGGTGATAAGCACAAGTAGCTAAAAGCAAGTGAAGCTAGAGAACTTATTCCAGTCTTCTGTTAGTTGCAGCCCGTTTCTTTAATATCTGCACTGGCCCGGGCTTCGTTGGGTGTTTAGCATCGCGCTGGCCTCTTCCTAGTAAATGCCAATAGCACACTCTCCTCCTCCCTCCAGTGATGACCGACACATTGCTCCACGTGATACCTCCCTGGTTGACAGGTGGAGGTATATTTAGCATGGGCAGTTACACCAGCAGTCCCGTGAGGTCACATCCACGGAAAGCACATGTTTGGGCGTGATATTTTATAAGTGGTTCATCGCGCTGGCCTCTTCCTAGTAAATGCCAATAGCACACTCTCCTCCTCCCTCCAGTGATGACCGACACATTGCTCCACATGATACCTCCCTGGTTGACAGGTGGAGGTATATTTAGCAGTCCCGTGAGGTCACATCCACGGAAAGCACATGTTTGGGCGTGATATTTTATAAGTGGCCTTGTCATGTCAGTCTGTGCCTCTTTCCTTTGACATCCCTCTTCCCCTGCCATCGGAGAACCACACACTGACTGTGAGTCAGAAAAGCCACTTACCTTTAACTATCTAAAGCTAATTTTCCCACTCAGCATAGTTTGATGTACACATCATGAGGCCGTATGAAGGGAGAGTAAGCTGTGACAAGAATAAGCACATCAATTTGGAAGAGTGACAGGTATTTTCCAGTTTGCTGCACTTTTCATACCATTCGGGAGGATACTTACTGTTATTATCTCCTGGAAAGTAATTGAATAGCTTTCTTTTAATCTAAATGCCTTAAAATAGTTCCAAGCAGTAAATAGTGAACTTCATGTTATACTCTGATGTGTTAAGGGGAGTCATAATTCTGGCTTTAAAGGCAGTGATCATTCTGTAGGGCACATATATCTCGGTCGCATAATGGCATAAATCTCTGGTCCTTTATAGAGCTACGGGTCTTCAAAGTGCTGTGATCATGTCATGATGCTGTACCTTCACAATATGCACACCCTCCACACACTGTTCTACTTAGCGCCAACATGCAATCTTGTCTTTGCAACATAACTTCATCGAGCAGCTACATAGTCCTTACAAAAACACATCTGGAGCCTGTGATTGTACTTTTTTTTTTTTTGGAGTAGCCAGTTGCTGAAAAGGCCAAATTTAGTGAGCGTGAATACTGCCACTTAAACTGAGAACGGCCTTCCTTTAAATAATGCCAACAGCGGAGTTCATCATTGCCACCAGTGGGCCAACAGGGTTGGGATCAAAGGTGCTCATCTCCCCCATTCATCTATTAAATGATCTTGGGCTGATCATCTAGGGTGGCCCTAGCTCCTGCGTTGCCCCTCTGTGGACTGAGCGTGATAGACGTAGTGTCACACACTGCTCTCTTCTGTCACCCATGAAAGCTGAATTTTTGAGACGCATGTCTTAGTAGAAGCATGTTGGAATTGACTCTCAGTGGATGTTTGGCGAATCTTGTGTGAGGTTGATATTGTACAGTGCAGTGAGTAGATAAACCGACACCTAAATAGGTTAAAGGGGATGCTTTATTCTGGGAATCAGTGCTGCAAATTAGTGTGCTTTCTATGTTTCCTTAAGTAAGTTAAATTAGACAGATGTGGGGGGGAGACCAAAGCAGCCTGACTTGTACATATTGACCCTGGTTATCTTGGTTACTTTTCCCAATCCTGCATATTCCAACACCCATAAATTAAAGAGGAGAGGTTTACCTTAGCACAGTGTGTAGAGGTTTCAGTCCATAGTTGGCTGACTCCCAGGCAGAGCAGTGTGGCAGAGAATATAGTGCAGCAGGCAGAAAGTAGGAAGGAACAGCAATGAGCCTCCCTTTCCCTCTTTGCTCTATTTAGGCAATAAGCCTGTTGGGTGGGTGGTGCCACTCACACCCAGGGAGGGTCTTCTGTCTTCAGTTAACCCATCCAGCCACACCCAGACCTAGGCTGATCCAGTGGACTGACCCAGTTTACCCTCTACCCCTAGTGCCAGGGTCACACACCCTAGCTGCAGCCACCTCTGAAAAGCCCCACCTCTGAGCACAGGAAGCTTTGGAGGGACATTGTGATACAAGCATTCGCACTGGTAAAAACCCACATGAACATACATTCTGTGTGAAAATTAAGCCAAATCCAGCAAAGACTGCAGCCCTTATGGGTTTAGATAGCCTCGGGACTCCCTTGGGCCAGAACCCTGGGCAAATCTGTGTGTGTCTTAGATGCCAGCAGGCGTGTGCTGTGTATCAGCCTCATAAAGCGTCCAATGCTCCACCAGAAAAAGCGCACAACCCTTTGTGCTCCTGTGTTTGTTTTGATCATGAGAAGCCAGGAGGTGTGTTCGTGTTTACTTTGCTTTGTGGGGAAGTTTACGCTGAGTCCCGTACAGAGTATAGAACTAACGGGTAGGAGTACGTTTGCTGCATCAGGGAGCAACTCAGATTTTCCTGTAGAAATTGTGATACCCTGCTGTGTCTAGACTTGAGTGGCAGTTCCAAATAAAGAGGGTTTTGAGAGGAGCTGACCTAAAAATCATAACTATAATATTGTTTCTTTGGGGGGAAAAATGCCTTCTGAGTTTTAAATAATTCTAAACAGATGATATATAAATCTGTGCTTCGGCCATAATCTACTTCTGAATTATATATGATGCTTAAAAAAAACTTGGTGAAATCTTTGACAATAAGCAGCCATCCACTGAGTCTTTCACTTATCAGTTGAAAGATGAGAATTTAAACACTGAGTGTCTAAAGCTTCGCATTTCCAGGTAGAAAGCTTGCTAGGGATTTGGAGGCTGAGCTGCAAAATGTAACATTTGCATTTGAGGAAAGCTATCGGAGGTCAGCTTCTTCTGCTGGAGGGGGCGGTGATACTCTAAATGGCTACTGTTTCGAACGTTTAAATGGAAGGTAAACTATGATTGGTGTCCCTACTTGTCGCAGTCCCACTATGTACCCTGACCATGCTGCTGGAACGTAAAACGTGCTTCTCCCCCTTTGCGGGAATCTTCCAACATATGGGAAGACCTCTCTGAGTTGTGGGACAAATACACTATCCACTTTGCTCATACCCGTGCTATGCGTTTGATAAACAAATATAGAAGCTTTTTAGCACACATCCAAAAGCAAATGTGCTATCCAGTTGGCACAGAGGTTTGTTTCTAGGAAACAAATATGCACCTTTAAAGCATTTTTTTTTTTTGGTTAATGCACTAGTAATACAGTAAATACATATAAAATTAATAAATTATAAATAATTTATCTACAACCACAACCTGCACATGCTGAGGAATTTAGATTTAGCTTCAATTTAAGCGTACAGGGAGTACAATAACAAATTTAACTTCCAGCATCCTTAAATTTAACTTTCTGTCGACTTGCCTGTCTACAGTCACAGTGCCTCATTTTCCTTAAGTGAGGGTGACTGATCCAGAGAGGGTGGACCCCGTGCCTCTATGTCAGGTTTTTTTTTACATATTAAAAATATTTTCTCTTATTATGAAAGTGTGTGCAGTCGTGCAGTTGAGATACATGGGACTTACCCATTTAACAGGGCTTTTATAGTGCAGGATGTGTCAGATTGACTCTCCGAATGTCAGTGCTTCTACTCAGGAGCTGCTGTTTTCTCTGACCCACCCCCCCAGGTCCTCCTTGCTAGCAGTTTTGTGCCCGTTTACACCGGACTGAGACCAGTGGAATACCAAGGGCAGGTAAAGCCATCGTGACTAACGATTTGCCCTGCTATCTGCATTTACCTGTTTCCTTTGAAGGATCTAATGTCGTCATTATTCTAGTCAAATCCACTTATATGTGTTATGTGTACAAATAACTTTTTCTTTTCAGTCAGCGGAAAGAAGGCAAAAAACAGGGACGGTGGTACCTCACCACCCAGATCTTAACAAAAGAGAATGATTGACTGGATGCTCCTATTTTCTCCAATTAAAAAGAAAAAGGCCTTATTTAAAATTTAATGTATATCGAGTACTTTAAATGCATCTAGAAAACACTTACAGTCGTCCCGCTAACGGTGGCACCTTGCTACTGGCTGTTAAATGGCTCCAGGAGCTGCAGTGATTCCCAGACCCGTTGCCTTGTCTGAACAGTGCTGCCAGGCAGGAGAATGGACACCATAAATGCCAGCTCCCACGTCCAGTGCCAAACACACAAACACCGGGACTAAATGTTTGCATCAAAATGCACGAAGCACCACCTTCAGTGAGTCTGAGTACCAAGGTACAACCGTGGCTTTTGAAGACAGTGAAACAAGCTTGTTTTTCGTACTGCTTCCTATTTGCTGCTGCCCCTGTAAACGCCAGAAGCAGGATTCCAAGCTGTGTTTTTCTAAATGTCCCCTGGTCGGCTCCTTTTGTTTTTATTTTGTAATCCAGCACCATTCCTACTTAATACTTATGAGAGATAGGCGTTTTATAATCAAATATCGTGTCCGACACAGTGACGAGATATGGAATTTATAATACAGTGGAGTGTCTGTGCAGTACATACAAGAATTGTGTATGTTATCCTCAAAGTCAGTCACTGTTTAATGCATATTTATAATTCAATGCAGCATAGGTCTAGCACATCCCAGGGACATGCATTTTGTAATCAAGTTTATCTCTGAACATGTATTTAGAATCAAATACTCTATCCACTTTGCTTATACCCGAGCTATGCGTTTGATAAACAAATATAGAAGCTTTTTAGCACACATCCAAAAGCAAATGTGCTATCTAGTTGGCACATACCGGAGATGCACATTTCATAATCAAATATAGCGTCTGTCTAGCACATGCCAGGGATATGGATTTTATAATCAAAGATATGCATTTTAGTTTTTTGTTTCTTTGTTTGTTTGTTTTTGATATTGGGGATCGAACTCAGGACCTTGCACTTGCGATGCAGGCACGATAAAGATATGCATATGACAGTCAAATGTATTATTTAAGGTATACCATATATATATTTTTGATCCAAAATAGCATCTATTTAACACACATTTATAATCAAATATGGTATCATTTAACACATACCATAGATTTGCATGCATTTTATAATCTAATACACTATGTACTTAACATATGCCATGAAACATATATTTTATAATCAACTAGATACAGCACATGCCAGCAGTATGCATTTTATAAGCAGATATGTGACCTCCTTAACACACATCTATAACCAAATTCAGTATTTACTTAGCACATAGCAGAGATATGCCTTTTATAATCAAATGTGCTATTTAACATGTACCAGAGATATATTTTGTCTTGAAATGTAGTATCTGTGTAACATGTACCAGATATCAGGCATATACATGGAAGCCTGGGTTGATGAATGCTTCTGGTGGCAAAATTTTGATTTTCTTGGCGAACTCTGCATGAACACAGACATGGCCAACTTTTCCAGGACCGTGAACCGAATTAAGTCTGTGAACCGAGGCCCCACTGTATTTGGAAGTGAATCCCTGCCCTTTATTTTATTTGCACATAACAGGCATTTATTTATCTGTTTATTTATTATTTATTTTTGGTACTGGGGATCGAACTCAGGCCCTTGCGCTTGTGACGCAGGCAGTGGAACCACTGAGCCAAATCCCCGGCCCAGACGTTTATTTATTTATTCATAAACAAGTGCATGGAAAGTGTGGAAAGGCCATCTGGATACACGCACTCATTCACTCTGAGGGCCCACACAGCCTCATTTCATGAGTGCCCCTGAGAACTGGCAGTCTCCCTGCAAAGGAAGGAACCAACTCTCAAAGCTAGTAAACATTCTGCTTCCACAAAAAGTGTGATATCTTTTGTAAATTTAAATATTTATGTGCACTGTATCACACTTCAACGATATAGTTATTTTAAAGTATCATTTTCCCTCTTGTTATGTGAATAAAGGTCAACATTGACTTGGACGTATAAAATTTTAATAGAGCTTAAGTTGCTATGAAAATCTACTTTGCATTATGAGTTTTAATTGTATAATGATCAGAAATCTATAATGACTGTTACTTCATGGTGTTGCTTTATAATAGACTTCAGCCAGAACAAAACTGTCAGAGTGGTTAAAAAAAAAAATCCTGAGGCATTTTCTGAGATTTTTATATTACTGTTAACGGGGTGTGTTTGTCTGCTTTCTGTTGCTATCATAAAACCCCTGAGGCTGTGCGGTTTATAAAGAGGTTTAGTTACCACACACAGTTTTGGATTCTGAAAGCTGAAGATTGGTTGGCCCTGTCATTTTATCTCTGTTGGGGCCCTCCCTGGCTATGCCCCCAGGGTGACAAATGGTACCATGGTGGGAGCTTGTGCAGGAAGAGAGGTTACATGGTGAGACAGGAAGCCAGAGACACTCAGGCACAGACTCACTTGTTTTATAACTTAGCCACGCAGGATCTGACTGGGTCCCATGAGAGCCACCATCATCCCTCAAAGCTATCACCACCTCCATGAGGCTCTACCCCTCCACAGTGTCCCCATGCATCATATTCCTGATATATGCTTTCTTCTTCTCTCTTAGTAATGGATTCTCAATTTCTAGGCAGACCTATGCTCGTGTATCTAAGTGGTTAACATTTCTTAGCTTCCCCTCAAGGTATCTGTGGCCATCCATTGAGTTGTTGGCCAAAGAGGTATAAACTGAAATACTGTTAGACTTGCAAGAAGGGAGGCTGTATGTAAGTCAACAATATGTAAGGTGAATTATTGTTAGAGTTATAGGAAGGGAAACTGTGTATCTTTCTGGTCGGGTTTCACCTTTGTTTCCTATTTCTTGGTACTTAGATGTAATGACTGGAGCTACAGCAGCCATTGTGAAACATTAGGTCAGAGATCACACTGAGGAAATGACCAAATAGTGAGCTGGAAAGGTCTGAATCTTTTCTGGGGTGACAGTGAGAGGAGGGGATTATTTTGCCAGTCTATTCTCTGTATTCTTGCCAAAAGAAAAAGAAGTAAAATTTCCCTGTTGTTATTGCATATGCCAGAATCCATTCATATCTGTTGTCGAGATTCTTACCCCCAACTTTACAGATGCAGAAGTCAAGATACAGAGGTGTTATTCTATGCCACTGAAGCCATTTAGCTGGAAGGAGGCACCTTCTCCACAGTGATCATGAAAGTCTCTATCTCTCTTGTCCCTCTCTCACTCTGTTTTGACCCTAGGTCTTTTCCCAAAACGTAGACCTCCTTTCTTTCTATCCAACCCCACACCTGCTTTTTGCGTGTGGGACAGGAAGATTATGGGCGGTTAAAAGGGTCAGATGTATAGAGTCAGAGGTTCCCAGTGACGTTTTCCATTGTGTGGTTGAATCCTTTGAACATAGAATCACAGCAGGAATTGAGCAGACCTGTGGCCTTGCACAGGAGGGAGGGAAAGCAGCCCACCGGGTCCCTTGGTCCCTGTGGATAGGACACACATCGTGACCACCTGCTGGACTGGACCTTAGGTCTCCTGAAAGTGTTCAGTCTCCTTTGCAGTTTAGTGTATCTGGGGGTGACACAGGATCCACATATATCAGGACTGACACAGCACTGAGGGACCTTGCACCGCCCTGTGCCAGAAAACACAATTTCCGAGTGCCATTCCCAGCCTGTTCCTGACTTTCTGCAAATCTGTTCACCTCCCACCGTCTGATGGGGCTTGGGTGCCAAGTCCTTTTCTAGATTCTTCCCCTCCCGTCTTCAGGGAGATGTGAACTCTGCTTTCAATGTATGTCCGACAGTGGGTGGCATCTTTTTATATGATGTAAACTACATCAAAATTGCTGTCATGCTGAAAGCACCTCTCATTTTCTAGGTCATAATGTTTTCATGCAGCTCTGATGTCGACTTGTTTGCTGGCCAGAGTTGTTCCTCTGAAACAAGAGAGGCTGATGCAGAGGGAGGTAGAGAGGAGAGGATTGGTATTGCTTATATTTGTGGCTTGGATTCACAAAGGACAGAGAAGGGAGCCATGCCAAGGGTGGAAATGCCCATGCCCTTCTCTTAGGACTTTGTCTAAATATAGAGACATTTTTCCTTTCACATCTGGCATTAATAGGCGTTAAGCATACTAGAGTTTATGAAGATAGGTGTGTGAATCCAGTATTTCTACTGGAAAAAAAAAACCTACTTAAAAGCATCATACTCTACTATGATGTAAGATTAACTTAAGCACAAGTAATGCTGTGAACCCTTTCTGAACTCTACCAGTGGCTAAAAGGGGTGTGATGTCTTTGAAAACTACTCCATTGTCCTGTATTATTTTTTTAAAGCTTCTGTAGCTCTTCTGTGGCTTTTAGACCATTCCTTGCACCTTACTTATAGTAGATACTCATTAACAGTCGAATATATGAGTAAGTGGAAATAAATTGAAGTTAAGCCTTCCTTTCCAATGAATGATTTGTTTTCTTCTGTACATATGAAACCCTTCCAGTGATAGAATGCCACAGATATGTGCCTGCTGTTAGACCACTTTCAAACAGATGCTTGTCATCAATTTGGAACGAGCAGGAGAATTTTCAAAGGTGTTTCTAATATATTTTTAAAGCATGGGTTTTGGCAAATGACTAAATATCAAAAGAGGATTATCACCAGAAGTACTACCACATGCAGATCCAAAGAAAGACTGTAGGATTTTGCGTTGTTTGTCTGAGTTTTAATTCAAGTGGTATTTTGATTCTATAATATGTTACAAACGTGTATGGAAGATTGTCATATTATTATCCCTCCGTTGA